GAAGCAGACAAGTTGCTCAGAAGAATTAGGAGATTCTTTTTGAAAGAGGATACCACCGTAGCCGATATCGGAGGCATCAGTCTGAATGATTTTAAAGGAATTAATAGAGGGAATACCAAGACAAGGCAACGTTTTAATATATTGCTTGACTTGTATGATAATAACAATATGAACAGAAGACCAAGCTAGAGGGTTGGTTTTAAGTCTGTCATAGAGAGGTTTAACAATTTTTCTAAGGTCTTGATAAAAATCAGAAACATAGTTTAGAGATCCTAGAAACCTTTGTAACTGGGTTTTGTCAAGAATTTCATCAGGAAATTTATCTGCAAATTGGATAGATCTGTTGATAGAAACAATGGTTGACTGTTGAATATTATATCCAAAGAACCTTACTGAGGTTTGAAACAACTTAATTTTGCTAGCAGAGATGACTAGACCGTTGTGTCTGACTATCTCTAAGAAGGTATTAAGATGTTTCTAATGTTCGTCTATTGATCTGGAGAAGATGAGAATATCATCTATACAGACAATAGAGAAATGACTAATGCAATTGAAAACTTCATTCATAATATTTTGAAATTCACTTGGTGCATTTTTTAATTCAAAGGGCATTACATTCCATTCATAATGACCAAAGAGTGTTGTAAAAATAGTTTTATATCTGTTTTCTAGAGATATCATAATCTGCCAAAAATCACTTTTTAAATCAAATTTTGAAAAAATTATAGCATTATTAAGTCTTTTAATAAGATCATGTTTATTTGGAATTGGATATCTGATCCATTCTAAAACAGAATTTAAAGGCTTATAATTTATAACAAGTCTTGGTGTGCCTCTTTCTAATTTAGCATTTTTAATGACATAGAAAGCTGTGCATAACCAAAGAGATTTGCTTTTCCTAATGACACTATTTTTTAGTAAACTCAGAAATCTCTTTTTTGTAGATTTTCATCGTTTCATAGTTCATTTGAATGGGTCGTGATTTAGTTGAAATATCTTTCTCCCTAAATCCTTTTATGTAAGGAAGTTTAACCATGTGTTTCTTCCTGTACCAAAAAGCCAAAGGAAGATTGGAACATACCTCTGCCTCCAATTTATGTTGAAAATCTTTAATTTTCTGGATTAAGATTGGGTTGGATAGTTGAGTTTTAATTCTTTTTTGATGAATTTCTTCTTTGAAAAATCTTACTTGGTTAGTTTTTTGAGTAATAAGGTTAAGGGACAAGGAAACCGAACATTCATTTAGTTGCCTTAAATTCTTAACCTGTGGTTCAGAGATGAAGTTAAAATGTCCAGAATGGCCAAATGGTTTTGTGGTTATACCATGGGTATCTATTGTAAAAGGGTATAATAGATATATGAATGGTAAATCAAGAATAACACTATTCCCATATTTTGTATCCAAGCCTCTATAATAATACAAATAGAGAGCTCTATCCTTGATGTTGTACAAGAACTAGTCCAGTAGACTAGTGTTGTAAGTTATTTTATCTATTGTTATATTCCATTTTATATTTATATCTTGTGCAATGCTTTCATTCAGAATTTTCGCACTTTGTATATTTTGGTATCAAAGTCATTTGACGGCCTGGATAGGTATCTTTAGAATTCTATGTGCATCGTCTTACTCGTTTTAAATCTTCATATTTTATTTTCATCTCTTAAATCACTTCCTAGTTTTAATCTCACTTGATCACCCCGCCTTTGTCTACTTAAGAGTGTGTAAGCCTCATGTGTATCCTATGTGTAAGTCCAGGTGTGACAGTTTTTGGGATTTTAGGCGAGAAACTGAGGGTTATATGTTAGGGGGTATGTATCAAGTAGTTAAAATTAATAAGTAATTTAAAATTTGAAAAGAAATTAGATTTAAGTATGAGTAGATTATTCAGATCTAATTTTAGGACTAGCTCATCTAGATCTTCATCTAGTACTATATCTCATATAGTAAATGAAGAAAAATATGAATGTGAGCAAAAACAACCTAATTGGTTAGGATGGAATATACCTAAAGTTCCTCGTAAAGAAATTTATAAAACTAGTTGTTGATTGATAACAGTTATTTTGGATGATTCGGTTTTAGCTTCTAATTTTTTAAATAGTTTATCAATTTGTTGGATATTGATTGAATCTTTGATTCCTAAGTTAGATCTATCTTCAGGTAGTTGTATTAGAGATTTTTCTAATTTTTTACTAGAAGATGGTCTAATTTCATCTAATTTAGTTTCAATTTTGTCTAACTGTTTTCCTGTGGTTATAAGGGTTTTGTTAGAAAAATTATTTTGTTCAACTATTTTTCTTTCAAATTTTGCTAAATTATTTTGTTATGCTGTTTTCTTTTTAGATTCATTTGCGGGAATCTTAAAGGGTGAAGCAGTAATTTCAGTATTCATATATGGTAAGGAAAAAGTTTCAATAGGGGGATGACTAGCTAAAATTGTAGCTGTTTCAGTCTTCCATTTGTGTTTTGTGACAACTTTTACCACTGTATAATGGGTTTTTAAAAATGTAAAAAATAAAATTTTTGATTCTATTTTGTACATTATTTTCACCAAATGTTCTCTAATTTGGATTCGTTCTTTACTGTTGAATCTCTGATGAAAGTTTAGTCTATTAGATTCATTTCTTTTAGACATGTAATCTTTCATTAATTCATCCATTTCGGGCATAAAAAATAAATCTTTTTGTAACTTAATCATTGTTACATGATGACTAAGTGAGCGGTTGCTTTCTATATATATGCAAATGCTGTTTGGATGAATTGGGCCAATTCGGCCTTGAAAACTCTTTGGCGTGCAACTCCCCTCGTATCATCATCCATTGGGCTCAATTAATTAGTTTGTACACCTCCAGAATCAGCTAATTGGTCCGGACATTTTCTTAAACAAACGATTGGGCTGTATATCATGCCCTGAAAGGGGTTAGTTAGTTTGGTGAGCAATTACCTCCAACTATCCACACTTGTATTATATATAGTGGTGTCAAAGGTTTAACTTTGGATGAACTGAAGATTCAAACATCTTGGGTTTGATTCTTGTTGGTGACTCAGTAGTGTAATCAAGAAGTATAGTTAACGAGTGATTGTAGATATTTAAAATTTTAAACAACTTTGTATGATAGTACTAGTCGTATTGGGCTGAATTAGCCCAAAATTAAGTTATTGGGCCTAATGTTTTAAAGGGAGCATCCCAACTAATTTGCAGTTACTGGGCTGAACCCAGATTGGTAGGTTGGCTTAGATTTCTGTAATCCTATTAACTCTCATCGGTTACAGATAATTGGATTTACTTCCATGGAAAGTAGTAGAGTTGGTGAGGAAAATTTCGTAACTCATTAATGAGAAGAAAGCCATCAATTATCTTTGTCTTTTCTATTTATGGAGAAAAAACAATAAAACTTGGTGCAATTAATTAATTGTAGGAGCAACAATGTCTCGTCCCGTCTCGTGTGACTAATTGCCCAAGTTGAGTAAATAAATTATTTTGCACACGACTCATTAATTAAATGAATTTGAAGGGATCTTACGTGAATTACGCCCGTCAAGGCTAACCCATATTTGGTAATTTTGCATAAATCCCGTGTTAAAATAGTTTAATCAAAGTTAAATCAAAATAAAATTGAAACACACAAAAAAATATTGATCTAAGATAGAAACTATTCATATTTCCTTTTTTTTTTTTGCTTTTCTTATAATCTTACATACCCTTACTTTTATCTTCTTCATTCCTATATTTTTTTTCCCGTGAATAACGGTAAAATGTCATAATCAATGTATAAGACTGAGATCCCGAAAATGATAAATACTTTAATGCTATTTAAGAAATTAATTTTCAAACTTGAATTTACAATGTATTACTTGCATAGAGAAATATTTGTAATTGTCTCCAAAAATCCAAATCATAAACAAATTAGGGATAACCCGTGCCTTCACGGTGCAATGTGAATAGTTTTGAGAGAAATATTTGTAACTGTTGGATGAATCTATTTGAAACTGTCGGATATTAAAATTTGTCATGTTTTATATTATAGATGAACAATTGCGTATAAAGAGCATATGGGATGATTGATGAGCTAATAAAATAAGTAAGTTGGTGGTAAAATTTATTACAAAAAAACAATAATTACATTGTAACCAATTATAAAATCATATCGTACCATGAAAAACTATTCCACCATTATGACCCCAAATTCAAATAAATGACATCATGAGTATATATTACTATCCGTTATTACCATGCATCACCCTTCTCACCTTTCTCATTATATTTTTCCAATTAATATTCACTTTTCCAATAATTAGACATGCACCCTGATTTTTTAATATATATATTTTTTATCCCCTTAATATATAAAAAGTATATATTTTTTTAGACTATAGTAAATAATAATGTATCCCAATTGGTTAACCTCCTTTATTTTTTCCATCTATTAATATTCCACGTGTCAAATACAAGATTGAGTCATCTTTAAAGAAATAAAAGTGTAATAATTAATAGTGACTAAAATATTATTATAATATACCATGACACCGATTCTCCAACAAACCCTTTTATGGATAGAAAAATAAACATCATTTAATTGTCTAGATACCTTATTCTGTTTTTTGAGAAATCAAACGTTATTGTGAATGAATGATAAAAATAACGCCACTTATCAGATACTTTTTTTTTTTGGAGAAATGAAATGTTAATCTATAATATAAAATATGACATATTTTAATAAATTTATTCGACGATTTTAAAATTATTCATATTGTACTATACTTTCAAATATGAGCTACCCGTACTATGAATATATTTGAAAAATAAAAAATCAATGTCTTTATCCTTAACAAAAAAAAAAAAGTCTATGTGAGATGCTTTATTTTGGTAGGATAAAAACAAAAAATTTAAGAAAATTTAAGGGGATAAAAATGTAATTGGTCCCTATAATTAATTTGCCTCTCAATATAGACACGTAGATATAATGAGACAGACTTTCTCTCTCCAAAAAAGATAGAAAAACGGACGCTTTCTCTCTCTAAAATTCATGTTTCTGTTCTTCTTCTTTCCGCAACTCTTCGGTAACGGACACTTCGAACTAACTCGGAGTGGTTGGCTTCGGTTTTACCCTCCGGTGACTGGTGGAGAAATAATGAGGGTGTTGACTTTTGTGTTACTGAGCTCGATTTTGGCTGCTAGTAAGTTCGTAACTGACTAATATAAGAGCTATATATATATATACACACACATAAGTATATGAGTTCACCATTCTTATCAGTATGTGTATAATCACTGGTTGTGTTAGGGTTTTCATGGGCTTAATGAGTGTTGTTTACTTTTCAAAACTACTTTTCTATGGCTTCGGAAGCGTCAATTTAGTAAAATTTTTAGTGTTACAAGTCATTGTGTTCATTTTCTGGTGAATTTCAGTAGTTTTGAGGACCCTTTGATTGTGAGTGTGTAGAAAATTGTTCCTGTTTTTTTCATCCTTTCAGGTAAATTTGAGGTCTATGCATGTGCTTATATGTGTACATAGACATGCAGATATGGATTTGATTATATTGTTACTTGTTATGGCTTATGAATTATGGGATGGTTTGTTGGAACTGTAATTCTGCATTGAATTTTGTATTTTTTTCGGTTGTTGAGCTTGATTATGTAGTGATCCTTTTTTTAAAAAAAAAAAAAATTTGAGTATGTTGTGGTTTACTGCCCTATGAACCTAAGCATCGGAACTTAGAATTGTTTAAGTTGCGAATGTGAGTGGAAGTGGAGTTGAATTAGGGTAGTAGGTGATACAAAAATTGTAGTTTTTGATTGATTTTTGTTGCAAAAGTATTTTTTTGGAAGGAAATATATATGTGCAAATTTGGTAAAACATGAATGTGTGCAGGGTTTGTTAAATTCCTGCAGGAATATGAATGATTGGGCAAATTATTAATCATTTTAGATGAAAACTTTTAGTAAGACGTTAACATGTGGAAGAATTCATGAAGATCATGTTAGATTGTGTTTAATTGAACCAATGATTAACAAATTTATGTGTAAATAGGGTCGCGCAACACGTGTAAGAATTCGTTATGATCGTTTTAGAAAGTGTTAGATTGTTTTATGAACCATAAATATATGTCCAAGTTTGGTAAACTTTGGATAACGGAATAATGGAGTGTGTCAGAATGTGTTTAATTGAATCTTTGATTCATAAGTTTATCCGAAAATTTGGTAAAACGTGAAACACACAGGAGAATTCGTTATATTTTTGTCCAAATATGTTTAATTTACCTGGTGGTTCATATTTCCATTGAATGTAAAATATCAGAAACCTTATTACATGCAATTGGGTATGAGTGGCATGAATGATGAAAATATTCTCTTGATCCATCAGTGCGTTCGTTTTTAACATAATCAGTTCCATCTATATGTCATTTAATTTTGGGTTTTATTGGCCATCTAGACTAGTAGAACTTGCCAAGTCAGCTGGCATATCGGCATCTAATTTGTCGCTACATGGTTTGAATGATTATGAAGGATTAAATTGATAAGTGTGTCTTTATATGAAAAAGACTTATTTACCTTATTTTATTTTTGATTAGTGGCTGAAAGAGTTTGTGATGTGATTGCAGCTCCTAAGTCATTTGAGGAGTTTATATGGGCCGCTAGATCTCTGCTCAACAGAACACTTTGACAGTTAAGCTGGATGGATTACTGAATGGAATGATAACAACAAGTCTTTATTACCCAAAGGTGCCGAATATCTTCTCCTTCTCATTTTTGTTATTAGGTGAACTTATGAATGTCTCTCTCTAGTTTGATTGCAAAAATTGTAGTCTTCATTGACCTTCAAGCTTGCTTCAAAATATGAGTTTTTTAATGATGTAGAATATGTATGTTCAATATGGTTTTTATAGAGTTTCCATGTGAAATTAAACAAAAGGTTTTGATTGTTAATGAAACTGAGTCAGTAGTTCAAGTCTATTTGGAAGTTCATTTGATAAACGTGCCGAGTCTGAACAATGGTTTGTTAGGCTTGTGAACATATATTTAATATCTAATATATATTTTGTATGTGTTACATATTGCATATGTACATATAATTGTCTACTTTTGTATTTATCTAATACTATATATATACATATATATATGTATAAACGAGCTGGATCATGGACATGAGCTTGAACTCGAATTTAAGCTCGAATACAAGCTCGAGCTCGGTTGTTTGATGAGCCAAGTTGAGCCCGAGATTAGGCAAAAATTTGATGATCCAAGCTTGAATAAGCTAAGCCTGAACATTCTGGTGCTCAGCTCAGTCCGATTCATTTGCGTCCCAAGTTGGATGAGTGATAGCACACTTGGTATGCTTTGGTAGAAAATGTTGGAATTGCAATGCATGGTGCAGCACTTGCAGATCATGGAGAACTTTGCAAACCACAGATATTGTGAACTTTGTTTTGCATAATAGAGGAATCTATCCATGCAATTGCACATTTGTATTGATTGGACAAATTAAATGAAGTGTTCTGGATTGTTGCAATCTGGAGAATAACTTTACATCAATATTTTTATGCATATTTGATGAGGTTTTTAACCATATTTAATATTAACGCACTTAATGCAGGGCCATGCATGCACGAATCGTTCTGAACCACCCTAATTCTCCTAGTAGAATTTTAAAACGTCATTGGCATTTGGTTGTGCTCCTTGCTTTGGAAATTTTATGGAGAGGGCAATTGTAGTAATTGTCACTATCCCAAACCTAACAACAGACGGTCTGATACAAGCTTGATTGATATGTGATAAAACCTTCAGTTTCTATAAATTTATCATATAATAATGCCTTCATGGTGGAGAAAGTCTTCCTCCAAAAAAGTAAAGAAGAAAGCAAACAAGGAAAGCTTCATTGATACGATACACAGGAAATTAAAGATTGCATCTGAAGTAAAGTGCACCGGTAGGGGTAGGTCGGGCATTTCTCGAAGACATTGTAGTGATGGTGTTTCAGAGAAGGGATCTCAATCTCGTGCAGTATCACGCTCACCATCACCCTCCACACAAGTAGCGTGTTGTCAGACATTTGTAGAGAGGCCTCATGGCCAACCAATTACACTTCCTGGGGCAAAGGTTACCAATCAACTTTGTGTTAATTCAGAAGACGATGCATCTACAAAAGAACTACCAGATAAAGGCTCCAAGCCTTTATTGTTCCCCCCCCTTCCCACACCTGAATGTGTAGGGAATTGTCTGGATCCCACTGATGCTGAGGGAGTTTTAGTGACCACTTCTGTTTCTAGTGACATTTCAATAGAGAGTGATGATCCATCTGACTCGCGCCTCCTAAGCCCCCAGGCATCTGACTATGAAAACGAGAAAAAACTGCCATGAACAGTCCTTCGAGGTGAGTTCGGTATTAATAACCACAATTATACTCTTAAGGCTATAATTTTAACACATAATTATTATGTGAAAGTGCTTGGCAATTTTTTTTCTTGTGGTTATGTTTGTCTGTCCCATGACTAACACATTTGTCTGCCTTTGCTGAAGTGTAAGGCACAAGGATCAATCAGGCATTTCCCTTCTTAAGAGCTCAAAAGAGATGTTGAAGCTGACTAACTTAACGTTGAACAATCCGACTGCCCTTATGTCACCTAAGCAGGAGCCTTTAAGCTCTCAGATGCCAAGTTCCCAGATTCCTCACCATGGGGCTTTTTATTGTGCTCTTGGCAGTTCTATGCCAAATCCTTCAAGAAGTACAGTGAGAGTATTTGGTCATGAGCCTGTGCTGAATTCTGATTTCTTGACAGGAAAGCCCTATGCAGATAAAGCTGTACTTGGTTCTGGACAATGTTCTAGTCCAGGCCATGGTCAGAATTCTGGGCATAATTCAGTTGGAGGAGATATGTCAAGACAGCTTTTTTGGAAGCACAGCAAGTGTAGTCCGGAGTGTTCACCAATACCTAGCCCCAGAATGATAAGCCCTGGGCCCTGCTCCAGAATACACAGTGCTGCAGTAAGCCTACTGAATGGAGGAGCAGCCACAGAATCACCTACAAACTTGCCTGATGAAGGAAAGAAACAAAGCTACCAGCTGCCCCTTCCTCCTCTAGTGATTTCTAATCCTTATCGTTTTTCTCCGTCATATTCAATGGGAACAACACCTACAGTCCTGCGAAGTCCTGGAAGGACAGATCCACCAAGTCCTGGTTCCTGCTGGAAGAAGGGAAGGCTTCTTGGCAGAGGCACCTTTGGGCAGGTGTATATTGGTTTTAACAGGTCTGTAACAACAGACGGTTGAATTCTGATTCGATGTTTTACCACCATACTTTATTCCTTAGAATTGATGGTTTGTTAGCAGTGCCAGGTTTTCCACAACCTAAGTGGTTTAACTAATCCATTAGTTTGGATTGGTATGGTTATTTCTTAAATGTCAAGGACTCCAACATCACTATTTCTCTCATCTGTCTTGATTCAAAATAAATAGTGGATTGATGACATGACTTAACTGAAAAATGTCTTCTCTTGTGATATTCTATGTTTATCTGTTTTGCTGCAGTGAAAATGGCGAGATGTGCGCAATGAAGGAGGTAACATTATTTTCAGATGATTCAAAGTCTAAGGAAAGTGCACAACAGCTAGTGCAAGTGAGTTTTCCTTAGCACAGAACTTCAAATAATTATTTACAACTTATTTTTGTGAATCCAACACTTTGAGGAAGACTTTAATCCCAAGCCTTTTTCTCTTTTGTGGTTGATATTTGGCAGGAAATTTCACTGTTAAGTCGGTTACGACATCCAAACATAGTTCGATATTATGGATCTGATACCGTAAGTTTTGTAACTCTTCGCTGCAGTTTTGTTTTATTATGTGCATTATTTGTTCTCTTAGTGTGTTGTTTTTGTTTTATTCAACATTTGACATTTAATTTTTCCTAGTAAGTTTTTCTGGGAAGCTTTACATGATCATACTCATTTTGACAATTAAAATTTTCTAGGATATGTGGATTATTTAGGGGCAGAAAGTGAAGAACTTATTCGTTATTATTGCTATTACAGTATTCAACGGCTTCTAGAAGATGTAATACTTTATTGTTATGTTGGTAGGTCAATGCTGTTAAACTTAAAAGGCTTAATTTATACACCAATTGCATAAAATCACTATTTCAAAAAGTTAGTACTTGGTAATGTCTCTTTAGTGAACATTATTTGACGTGCAGTAATATTACATCTATAGTTTGCTCGAGTGCTTATTTGTTGATATTTGTCCTTGTTTTATGCTTTCTACAGGTAGACGACAAACTATACATATTCCTTGAGTACGTGTCTGGTGGTTCCATCTACAAAATTCTTCAAGACTATGGCCAGTTGGGTGAATTAGCAATTCGAAGTTACACTCAACAAATATTGTCAGGGCTTGCATATTTGCATGCTAAAAATACGGTCCATAGGTGAGTTTAGTTGTTGGGAAGTTTTGGCTGCTTATTATTATATGTTTGCCTTTTATTGCCTACTTCTAATGGTCCCAGTGTGTTTAGTCACCTTCTCGACAGCGCTTATTGATAGGCTTGTTGAATCCTTTTTTGTTAGGGACATCAAAGGAGCAAATATTCTGGTCGATCCTAATGGCCGTGTGAAATTGGCAGATTTTGGGATGGCAAAGCACGTAAGAGAATTTCTTTAAAAAATTTTAGATACAATTATCTTCATTGTTAAACAGGTCCAATAACATCCTATATGATTGACAAAAGTTTATTATAGACAGCATGGAGTATGCAAAAAAACAGGGATTTATGTGAAGTTATTTATTAAGCAAGTAAGGCAAAAATTGCCTGAAATTCATCGTGGCATGCCAGGATCTGCAAGATATGGTCTTTATTTATTTAACTTGCTATAACGATCAAGGAAGCAACAAAGCTTGGAAAGAGATGTGTTGATACACTTCTTGTTCTAGGGATTTTCAAGTGAAGGTTTCCTTTATTGAGTACTGTATGTTATCATTTAAGGAAGTTTAGTTCCTCCTATTTTCCTCTGGTAAACATCTAGCAGGAGAGAAACAGGTCAATAACTGAGCCAAACGGGAGATAGGTGAGGACTGGGAGAGCCCTTTTTCAAAGAATCAATTTAACCGTAGCTACCATTTTGGGGTTTTTTTAGCATCCTACATGGAAATGCCTCCAGCAGAAAGATGGATATCACCTGAAACAACCTTGGGTGGAGTTGGAATAAAAAGAGTAGTATTGACAATTTGGATCTTGGTTGGGAGAACACTTTGTAGAACTTTATCTTGCAACATTCTGTAACAAATGCAATTGATTATTAGTTTTAAATGCAGGTGAGTATCTGCAACATAGATATATTATGTACTTGAAGTCCCCTATGGGTGGCAATATATCTCTTTGCTAATGCAGTTGGTTCTGAACTAGATGTTAACATTGGTATCTTCTGTAAAGTGGAAGCTATGCTGTGTATTTAAATTAATTTAATGTTAGTCAACATAGAAAAGGTAGGGAAATAACAGAAATAAGCTTTTTAATAATAAAATTATTGCTCTGGTAAACTGTTTCAAGCCATTCTAAATACTTTGTGGGTTCTTCTTTCTTTCTTTTTTTTAATTACTTTGCAGGCTTCTTAATGCTACAATTTGTGTATTAAGTTAATTTTTATACCTTGCAGATAACTGGGCAGTCTTGTCCGTTGTCATTCAAGGGCAGTCCTTACTGGATGGCACCTGAGGTCAGCGAAATCACAAAGTCATACTCTTGAGTCACTGTTCTTGCCAATGCTTCTTTAATAATATTTCTCTATTGCATTGTCTGTTCAGGTTATAAAGAATTCAAATGGTTGCAATCTTGCTGTGGATATATGGAGCCTTGGGTGCACGGTTTTGGAGATGGCTACATCAAAACCACCTTGGAGTCAGTATGAAGGGGTTAGTCAACTCAGTTTGAATTAATATTTTAGTAATTTTCTCTATTATTGCATATAAGCTAATCTGTTTCTTGTAAACAAAATATACTACTTGTTTGAATTTCTTGACCTGATTCTTGTCTTTCTTATTTTCCAAAAGGTTGCTGCTATGTTTAAGATTGGAAACAGCAAGGAACTTCCTGCTATGCCTGATAATCTCTCAGAAGATGGCAAGGACTTTGTACGGCAGTGTTTGCAGCGCAACCCACTACACCGTCCTACAGCTGCTCAGCTTTTGGAGCACCCCTTTGTTAAAAATACCACGGCATCAGAAGGCTTATTTCTATGTCCTGAAATTCTAGAAGCAATACCTGAAATTACAAATGCGGTAACTTTCCTTTTATGTCCGTGCTATTATTTTGTTTGACTAAGCAGCATGCATGAAACGCTTTATTTTGTTTATTCCTTTGATGTGTTTTGATTATGGCTTGGCTAAGTAAAGAAAATCTCAATAGGAGCCCTCTCTAAATGTTGGAGGAAATGTAATGTAACGATCTTTAGTTGCAGAGTATTATTGATTATGCCTGACCTGTGATATAAGATTTCTTCAAAGCTGAAAGTAAGGAAAGAAAAACAGAAATCAGCCCCTTACCGAAACAACTGAGAAAAGTCATAGCCATGCAATCTGTTGTTAAGCTGACGAGTTTTTCTTTGTGGGGGGATTGGACATCTTTGAACTAAGGCATGAAAATTGCATTCCAAGACAGTAAAACAAGTGGTCTGTAACTTGTTTTGTGTTCCCTTGGATCCAAATCACCTGTTAAGAGTCTCAAGACCATGTCCAGGCCTGAGTTTATCTAGATCCTATTTGCTTATCATGTCAAAACGTAACATCATCCACTAGTCTGAGTTGATATCTTCTGAAATGATGCTTTTTTTGTGTGGTATCGTCTATCCAGCTATTCTAAGTCCACTTTATTTAATGTAGTTCAGTTGTATTGATTCCTAGTATATAATATTTTATCTAAATTGATCCTAGGGAAGTCTTGTTTGTGTATTATTCCACAAGGATGCACTTTGGGCGATCTGTAATAAATTTGTTTCTGTTATTGGTTGTGGCTTTGAGGCTTGCCTTTGGATTGACTGTTGGTTCACAAACTTGATGTTTTAGGGTGTTGGACATGCCAGAAATCATTTGTGGATGGACTCAGAAGGAGTGGCTATTCATCATTCTAGAGGTCCAAAAAGTGGTTCAGGATTCAGGTCTCTCTCTCTCTCTCTCGTGTGGACTTGTTGGCACCAGCTGGTACATGCATGCATTCATGGAGGCACAGTGAATATGACATTAGTGGCTGTTAGTATACTGCTTGTGCACAGTAAGACTGTCAGTGTCCGTGCTGCTTACTCTGGGTAGATGAATTTAGTGGTTCCTTTCAACGGCTTAAATATTATTATTTTCATAATGCTTTTCTTTGCAGGGGAAATGTTTTCACTTTCAAGTTTACTTGTTATGAATGTTTGGCAACAATGTCATTGAAAGCCATCTTACACCATTTGTTGCATGAATGATGATTGTTATGGTTTCCTCATGATAACTTCCTTGGGGTAAATGATATCGCTTTCTTCAATGTCGTATATTGGATGTAGTATAATTGAAGTCTTTGTCAATGTTGGTATTTTCCAAAAGGAATCGGCTTTGTGTCTGATAGTATTACTTTCCTGGTGTGCCTTTGATCACCTTCAAGGTATGACTGGACTTCTTGTGCTTCTGAGAGCATACAGACCAAGTAGTTGCAACATGGCCAATAAAGTCATCTATGATATTGAGATATCTGCTTATTTTTTTTTCCCTTTGATTTGTAGCGACGCCCAAATGCCGAGGAACGTAGCATGTCCAGTTTCTCCTCGTTTGCATCCCCAATCAGCACATCATGCGAATAGAAGATTGTCTCCCTCTCCTATATCGAGCCCCCGTGTGACATCTGGTTCATCCACACCTCTTACTGCTGGTAGTGGCACCACTGCGTCTCATCTCCCCAAACTACCGACAAACTACTTGCATGAAGGCATGGGAACAATTCCAAGGTCCCCAAACAGTCACTACCTCAATGGCAACCCTTCCTTTCAAAACCTGAAGCCTGACATGTTTCAAGGGAGGCCACAAACCACTTTTACATTCCGGGCAATAGTTCCAGCTGAAAATGGTTTTCATGGAGATCAGTTTGGACGCCGGGCCACCAAGGAATTATATGGTGTGCAGTCTGCTTTAGCTGATCGGGTATCTCAACAGCTCTTGAGGGAGCATGTGAAATTGAATCCATCGTTGAACCTCAAACCCTACTCACCAGTGTTTGGTCGCAGTAATCGAGTTTAACTAAAAGGTGATCCACCTGATTTGAAATTGTCTCTCAGGTGTACTGTTTATGCCAAATTCACCATCAAATTTCTTAGTTAATTTCCTGTTATAACAGTTATGTCTTCCCCCGACACACATGGCTAATCTGGGTGATGCTGGTTTTTACAGAGAGCATAGCCTGTGGAGCTCCAACATTCAGCAGTAGCTTGCAGTGAAGAAAATTGTAAATATATATCATCATATATCAAAAGGAGAAGATTAACCTGGAAGAACTTTTAGCTTTTGGACCGAGTCTGCTATGATTTTGGCTTTCGGGTCTTTTTTTCTTTGGGTGGGGGGAAGCAAAACTGCTTTACTGAATGTTAGTTACTAATTACAGTCCAGATTTTGTTGAGAAGACAACCTGAGAAAATGCAGGGCTTGGCTTGTTGTGTAAAGTCTGTTAAAGGGTACAATGGGTTGTGCTGCCAAATTGTTGTTGTATCTTGTTGGAGTTATAGCTTACTTTACTAGAGTTTTGCCTTTTTTTTTCCTTATTGTACCTTTATTATTTGGCTATATATACAGAGGACTCTACATTTAATTTGTATCCTTTTTTTACTCACGTTTATTCCAAGTTGATATCAGAGTCACAACCCTAACCCTAGCCCTAACCCCTCCTCCACATTGCAGCCACCAGCCACCACATTGTTGCCACACCAACAACAAACCAACTAAACAGTCCAGCCCAGCACCGATACCAATCACCACCTGTGAGGTGCTCGATATTATGTGACATTTATAGATGACCATACTCGTTGAACTTGGGTCTACCTTTTGTATAAGAAGTTCGATGTACTCCCTATAATCACTCAATTTTTTTAGATGATTAAGACACAATTCGATGTTATTGTACGTGCTCTTCGTTTGAATAATGCCAAAGAATATGTGTCTGATGTCTTAGTGTCTCACTTTTCTTCACAGGATATTCTTCAGCAACTCACTTGTTCATATACTCCAAAGCAAAATGGTGTTGCTGAAAAGAAAAATAGGAGTCTGATAAAAATGGTACGTTGTATGCTTAGAGATATAGGGGGTACCAAAATCTTATTGGTATTTTGCTATTTTGACTTTTACCTTTTTGTGCAATCACATACTGAGTCGTGTTTTTCAGCATAGGGCTCCCTTACAGATCTTATTTTTTGAACGGACATTTTTTTCAATCACACCTCGTGTTTTTGGATGCACTTATTTTGTTCAAGATCGGTCTCATACTCGTTATAAGCTTAATAATAAAGTGATTTGTTGTGTCTTTGTAGGCTATTGTCATCAGTCTAAGGGGTATCGGTGTTATGATCCTATTAGGCGCCATATGTATCACAGTCTAGATGTTACATTTCTTGAACATTTTTCTTATTTTTCTTCCAGTCTTGTGTCTGCCCCTCTGGTTAATGATACTCCATTTAATTTTTCATTACCATAAGAGCCAGAACCATTGGTCACTATCACTATAGAGTCATCAATCTCTCCTCCTTGAGAGCCACCTATCCCTATCAGTATAGAATCACCAGTCTCTCTTCCTTTGTAGGTTTATGTTCGTTACCCTCACTCTCATCCCCCTACTGATGTCTCCTCTACCTCAGGCGATGCAAGTAATACTTCTCAATTCATTAAATATATTGATGCACCAGTTGTTAATACTGATGAGATTGCAGGTACTAAGCTAGCTACTTTACCTAATGATTTAGGGCGTCGTTATCCGCATCGTGATCGTCGTTCAGTTGTTTGTTATGTTTAGACCGTCAGGATTTTATATCTGATCTCTGCTTATAATTCTTATGGTGATATGTCTCCTACATTTTGAGCTTATTGTTTGGCCTTATCAGATACGCCGATCCTCGCTCTGTTTTAGAGGTTATGCGGGAACCCCAGTGAATTCTTGCCATGCAGACGAAAATGGATACTCTTCGGTATAATCATACATGAGATCTTGTCTCTTTACCTTCAGGGGTAAAGCCTGTTGGCTGTCGCTGAGTTTACACCTTGAAGTTTCTTGCAGATAATGTTATTGATCATCACAAGGTTAGACTTGTGGCGAAGGGCTTTACTCAAGTACCAGGTTGTGATTTTGGTGCTACTTTTGCCTCCGTAACGAAATTGACTACTGTTCAATTAATTTTTTCTCTAGCTGCAAAATATTTTTGACCTCTTCATCAGTTGGATGTGAAGAATATATTTTTTTACGGTGATCTAGACGAGATTATTTATATGGATACACCACCGGGTTTTGTGGTGAGGGGGAGTATGCTAGAAAGGTATATCGATTGCATAAGTCTCTTTATGGATTGAAATAATCACTACGAGCTTGGTTCTCTCACTTTAGTGGTGTAGTTGTACGTTTCGGATTCACCAGATGTCATTTTGATCATAACTGCTTTATTCGACGAAAATCTTCTGGACAGTGTGTCATCCTTTTGGTATATGTTGATGATATTATTATTACTAGAGATGATTTTTCTTGGACTGTGCAGGTCAAGGTAGACCTTCGATGTGAAGAATTTTGGATTTATGCGATATTTTCTTGGGATTGAGGTTACCCGTAACAATAGGGGTATTATTCTTTCTCAAAGAAAGTATATTATGGATCTTCTCTTAAACACTGGGGTGCAAATCGACATCATCACCCATGATTCCAAACGTGAAGCTTACTGCTGAAGGTGAGGAATTGAGAAATCCGACTGTCTATCAGATATTGGTAGGTAGACTTATCTACCTAGCCAACACTAGGCCAAATATTTCATTCGCTGTCAACTGAGTTAGTCAGTTCATGCACAGGTCGTGTCAACCTCATCTTGATGCAATTTATCATATTCTTCGATATCTCAAGTCTTGTCCTGGACTTGGGTTGTTCTATGCATCAGGATTTCAGACTGGTTCTTTAACCTGTTATTTAGATTCAAATTATGAGGGAGCGTGTGACGGTCGATCTACTATGAGCTTCTGTACTTTTCGAGGGACTCATTTTATCTCTTAGAAGAGCAAGAAGCAGACAGTTGTCTCCTGCTCGTTAGCAAAGGCAGAGTATCAGGCACTGACACTTGACACATGTGAGATTATCTGGTTACGATCGATTCTTGGCGAGTTGAAATTTTCAGTGACTTCTTCATCCACATTATATTGTGATAATCGATCTGCTATTTAGCTCGCTTTTGACTCTGTGCTATATGAGAGGACAAAACATATAAAGATTGAAGTTCATTTTTTTCGGGAGAATTCTAATTGTGGTATTGTCACTCCATTATTTGTGGGGATTAGCGATCAAGTTACAGATATTTTCACCGAACCTGTCACTCTATCTATTCTTTAGGATTTAGTTGTCAAGTTTGACTTAGTTGATATTTTTGCGCTTAACTTGAGGGGGAGTGTTGGAGTTATAGCTTAATTTATTAGGATTTTGCCATTTTTATCTTCTTTTTATTTTTTTATCCTTATTGTACCTTTATTATTTAGTTATATATACGGGAGTTCTATACTTAATTTGTATCTCTTTTCATTCACATTTATTCCAAGTTATCCCTCTAACATTATAAATGCATCAAAGCTAAAAAGATCTAATTCGATGATATTTGCTCTGTTGAAGTCCTTGGAAGCAGCTAAATTTATTCTAACATTATAACAGAAAATGCTTTGTGGCATTGGTGTTTGAATTTCAAAAGTGACGGCACGGAGAGAGTTGGCGTACCATATGGCACTGGCACTGCACAGCAAAATCCGGGAGGAAGAGTTTGTAGGATGGGAATATGAAGGGAAAATTAAACGACAGCTCCTCTCCCCATTGGTCTATAAAAAGATAAGAGACAGATTGTGTTAGACTGTCAAAATATGATACGACACAATTACGATATAAAATTAGAAAATTCAAGTCTTTTCTAAGCCATTTGTTTCATAAATAAGTGAATTCGACTAATAAATAACTTGAGTATATGTGTAATCAATCAAAAGAAATACAAAATATAACTTATTTATGTACTAATTATATATAATTTATACATGACACGAACTCAATAACACTATTCATTAGTAAACAAATCAGGTATAAATTACGTGCATGGTAACACAAATTCACCTCACTTGACACAATTGACAAACTTAACATTGAGAGTGCAAAACTTTAATGCTACTGGTCATACAAGCGACTCATTAACAACTTTTCAAGGGTCAAACTAGAATTATAAGTTTTATTGTTACCGTATTTCCATAGGCAATGTATATTTTTTAGGAAAAAAAACAGAAAGTTAATGTAGATGGGATTGCATCGTCGAACCCTTTATCTACTAAATTAGATGGGTTAAACTAAAACGAGTTCAACAGTTGTAGCAGATTGGCAGTTGAAAAGTCTGCCATTTATTTCAGAATTGATAAAAGCCACCAAAAATAACATTATATCAATTAAAATAATAAGTAGATTAGGGATAAAAATGAGTTAATTGCATTGTTGAAGGATAAAAAACAAAAAATAAAAAAAAATTCGGAGTTCTAAACATTTTAAAGTAGTGAATAAAAGAAAAACACCTCATCCAAGTAGTTTCTTTAAGTACATCAAATACAAAAGCTTCTCATTTGTATTTATTTCATTTCTTCTTGCATTCTTTTGGCAAACTACCCCGAAAAACATTGGCACGCGTGTAAACAACGAACGCGCAAAGAAAATATTAGTGGAAGCCTATGTGAATATAAATGACGACTTTTGAGAGTTGGGACTAGATCTAAACGAGTTTTATGTATGTCTCATGTCTTTCGGCTCAGTAGGATTGAAATAAAGATAGACTGACCAACCAATTCAAAGCAAAAAGATCAATCAAACAGCCAATATTCTTACATATCCCACTGTAGACATCAGAATGAAAAGAACCACTAAAGTGATGGAAAATCTCCACAAAGAAAAAGCTCATTGGGCTTCCCTCTCAGTATGGTGGCGACCCAAGAGCGAAATGTCACGCCTCTTCGCTAATAAAGCAACAGGCATGCACTCAAAATACCTCATAAACCTCAACACACCTTGTTTGTGTGCTGGAACAACTGTCACTTCCTTAGAGCAACACTGGCTTACCCCTCTGTAACGTAATATAAGAAAATCTAAGAAAGAGTATTTCCACCACATATTACAGAAATTTCCACCTCAACGAAGACATATGCGTGGTTTATAACTTCCACATCGGCATTCCAAAACTCTCTCAATAGCATGGGTCCTCAAGCGCGAGGCTGGCACCAAACTATCCATGGGTTGCCTAGTCGGAGGAGCTGGAGAAGCTAGATCACGGAAAAATGAAGAAACCATCAATTGACCAAATTGTTTCTCAAAGCACATCAAAGGGAAAAGCCACTTAGTAATGCAAAAGATAAAACACCAGAACAAAACAATAAATATTGATCAATCTTTAGTGACAATTTAAAGAAATGAATTGTGAAGAATTCTTACAGAGTGACATTGCAAGTGAACCAAGCTATTCAACTAGAGTTCTTGTCAACCCTATATAAGATCAAGCATGACTATGTGGCAATTGGAAGATCTAAAC